CACACGCAATGATCGTGTTAAAAGCCAAAAAAAAGGCTTCTTCAACCGATGAACCACAGGTGAGGAAACCGTGATTGCGAAGCAACAATACCTAAATCATTGAAATTGAATAAAAATCATGCAGTTAGATCAAAAAAAAAAGAATAATAAAAATGATTATAATAATAAATATCAGCGCGGATATATACTGCACTGTCATTCACACATTACAATTAGTCAAAAAAAGAAAGAAAAAAAGGAAGAAATCAAAGAAATGTAAGGACGGTTATCGGTTTATCCAAATGCCGATCCATCATCCTCATCGTCAGCATAAACGATAATTATAATAATAATACCAACAATAATAATAGCAAATCGAAAAGCTGATAAGATTTTCGTTTCTTGTATACATGCAAAAAAAAATCATCCATACAACAGGCTGTGAAGAATTTCCAAAAAATAATTACTTTTTAGACCAATATAAAACGTTTTTAAAAGTTTTTCAAACCAGTTGAGTCTTTTTGGAAAAAAAGACTTACATTTTTTCCTAATTATAGCTTTTTTCTTTTCTTTGCAGAAAGGAAAAAGGTGAAAAAACAACAACAACAAAGAATCAGCCAAAAAAATTGCATGCAAGACTTCCTTCTTTTCAAATTTTTTCTTTTGCTCAAATCTTTATACAATAATGCACTAAAAACAAAATTATGAACTTACATTTTTGTCGCTAAGATCATTTACCAATGCATTTCGATCAGACTCATCTGCTAATGAACCCTGTAAAGGAACAAAACTGGTTAGTTCAATATGTTACGATTGAAATTCAAAGAAAAAGAAGAAAGTAGCTAAGACTCTAAACTGATGTGGCTAATAATATCTGTTTACAAGTTTAGTGGATATTCATAACACTTTTTACTGCAAGGCTGTGAATCTGAAACCGTAGCTGTAACAAGTTTCAAAATTTCGAGTATTGATGTCAATTGAAGTAAGACTGAACTGAGGAAACGGTGCTACAATATCTCATCAAGCACTAATATAATCTACTTTTTACAGCCTTCCATAAAGGGTGTATTCGGAGACGGAACTATAAGATGAATTTCTTGGCGAAGGGGGGATGGGGGATTCTACCTTTTCTACGTAAAGGATTCTACTTCCACTACAAAATTTGCAAATCTGGTAAATAGCAAAAACAAATTAACTTCTGTAGCCAAACCAAATGTGGATCTGTGAAGTGTTCATAAAAAACTGAGGAGTTTGAACAATTAAGTTGTTGTTAGACAGACATATAACTAACTATAACAGGAACCAACGTTTTTGAATTTTTTTGATGCACCATAACGTCTGTTAAAATGCCAAATCAAACAAATAAAAAATACTATTATTGAAACTTTTTCACAAAAATTTCAATAATTCTAATCCTGTCAAATGCCAAATCTTTCAAAATTTTGAATTCAATTATTGAAATTAAAAAAAAATAGCAGCAAAGTTTCATAACACTGAGCCCACAACTATATCAACTAAAATATTAAAAATTTTCAATTTACACTGTCCTCAAAAAAAATTTTTTTCTGATACAAAAAAAATAACCTAAACTTATTTGATGAAATTTAAGAAGAAATTTAAGTTACATTACAGTTAAATATATGTGGTAATCATATCATTCAATAAATTTCCAATATCCAAAACTCTGTTCTGTTCCATCAACGGTTCCCAGTCGATCACTTTGTATCCAGTACCTATTCGGTTCAATAAATTTTTATGCTAACTATTTATTTTAAATATAACTTTTTCACTCAGAAAACTTTCTCCTATCTTTGAAAAAAAAATTGCGGTTTTTTCCCTTGTAACCACAATCAACTCCTTCAAACGTAAACAGATCCCTTGCCCACCATGTAGGATGATAAAGCTAAACTAAATTCAGTTTTTATTTTTGCTCAGCTTTTGTAAAGCAAAATTTTCGTAAGCATTCCAGTCATACTGTTACCATTCTTAAAAAAATTTCTCAAAACCTCGGATACAACTATCCCTAAGTGAATGTACCAATGAAAGTTTTTGCAAGATTTTAAGCTTTTTAATGCTGAAAATTTTACCAGTGTCGTTTTAAAAAAATAAGTGAAACTTAAATGACTTCAAGTTGAAAAAATCATTAAAGGCTGAAGATTTTATACCTTAATCCTCCCACCATGCATTCATTCAAATTCTGTTCTGATGATTCTCATGCATCGAAACGAGGTTAAAAAGAAAAAAAAACCACAGCAATAAAAGCTAGAAATAAAAAATGAAAGAAAAACAGATTCCAGAGCCGACCTCCGTAAAATCTAAAATCCTCTAAATTTTTTGCGCATATAGTACTTCAAGATCAGATAAATTGTATAAATCTTCCAGAAAATTGATTAAGTCAAAAAATACAACTCAATTAGCATCCAATAAAAAACAACTCAGCAGTATTACTAATTTACAGAACAGAAAATGAAAAAAAAACCAGCAGACTATTTATTAGCAACTTTTTGCAAAAACATTAAATTTGAATCTCCTTCCCTCTAAAATAAACCCCAAAAATAAAACTCTAGCCACAGGAATCGGTACAGATTTGCGTCCCTCGCTCTGCTGCAAGATAAATAGAAATTTTGTTTTAGATTTTCCTTCAAATTGATCACAAATGATAAAGCAACATCTCTTCTGGAGACACAAATAAGCGCAGATGACAAATTGTTTAGATATGCAAATGAAACTGGTAACCATTGAAACGTTTTTAACGCATATGTTTCACTCGCTATTCACAATTGATGTCCTTTCTTTTTAGACCTAAGATTCAATAAAAAAAGGCGTCAAAAACAGTGCTGAACTAAAAAACTTCAGTAAGTACCTCACCTGATAATCATGATAAGCTACAGGACCAATTATCATGGCTTCCTTACATAATGGTAACAAGCCACATTTCATAGAGGAGACAGCTGCCACAACAGCAGTATGAAGATGAAGAACACAATTAATGTCCGCACGAGCTTTGTGAATAGTTGAATGTAAAACAAAACCTTCCTAAAAAACATCAAGAATCTTGTTCTAGAATAAGAAAAAACATAAAAACCAAAAAAATAACAGTTTTATAATCTGCAACGTACCAAAATTCTATAGTTGTTTAATTCTGGTTTACAATATAAACACAATAAAAGATTAGCTAAATCAGTGATAATAAGCAAACCTGATTTATAGCAAGTTTCGTACTTCCTCCGTCAAGGACATTGCCGTCAAGGTCAACTTTGACAAGTGAGCTGGCAGTGATTTCGTGGTACAATAAGCCAAAAGGATTAATTAAAATTTCTGAGGGATTTGATGCAGTTCTCAACTGAAAATAGGATGATTAAAAATATGACCATCCATCAGTGGAAATCCTTCATTTATCAGCAAATATCATCAATGAATAATTTAGCTTCGTTTCGTAGACTAATTTCTGGATTGCTGCTCCATAATAATCTGTTGATAATAGAAAAAAAAACAACAATAATAATTGCTATCTCTTCGTCTATACTCATTTCTCACCCTCCCACCTCCTCCACCACCAAAAAACCTTAATAATTCAGTGCTAGTAATGCAATAAACTCGTCCAGTGGTTGTTGAGTGATTCAAGGTACCAGAAACATATTAATATTTGATAATCATATATATTCAAGCTACGGCTCACAGTGAAACCAAATCAGCAGTGACAAAAAAAAGCAGTGATAAATCAATTCATTAATCCTCTTCTTCTATTGATTTACAATTGATTATTTATATAACTCTAAAATTGAAAACTAACCGTTATATGGTTGTAGATCCCCTGAGACCACTGAAACAAGTCTACTAGACGGTACAACGATGCAAGTTTATACCTCTGTAATTTCTCTGCCTTTGTGTAATTTTCGTTATCCCGTAAATCCGCAATTGGTACAACAGCAGACGATCCTTTAAATTAATGACTGTCAAAACTGGTAAAATTGGAAGTATAGTTCTAACTTTTTCATAACCAACTAAAATAACCGTTGAACGAAAGATACAATAATGACTGTAAAGAAAATAACTAATGGGAAGAAAAAGAAAAGAATATCATACATGACATGATAAAATGAACTTGTCATCTTCCCTTATTTTTTTCCAACTCCAACAATTTCGTGAATTCAAACAAAGAGAAAAAGAATTAGAAAGTTCAAAAAAGAACTGCACTGCAGTAAGTCAATAACAAAGAAGTCATCATTTAAACTAAGAAGAAAGATTGAATTTAATGACATCTTCAGCAAAAAAAAGGCAATAATGCAAGTACGGTTTACCAATGTTATGTAAACTGGCTGCAGCCAGTTGACCGTGCGGCAACGATAGCTCGGAAAGTCGTTGCAACGTCTCCAAATGATTTGGATCATTCTTACAACTTTCGCTTTCAGCTTTAATCAACGATTCTAGCACTTTGCAGAAACTTTTAGATTCTAAAATTTGTTGCACCCGCTTTCGTCGTCCCATTTCCGACAAATCTTCCTGTAGAAGAAGAAAAAAAATATAAAATAAACAGGTTTGAAAAAAAACTAAGAGATACTTTTTCCACTGATAAATTACAATAAATATAGATAA